TACATTCAGTCATCCACACATTCACACACTGGTGATGGCAAGCTACATTGTAGCCACAGCCACCCTGGGGCGCACTGACAGAGGCGAGGCTGCCACCACCGGGCCTTCTGACCATATGGTGTACCTCCACATGTGATGTGACAATAAAAGTGATTTGATTTGATTCATTCTCATAGACATTAGTGTTTGGGATCAGCTCTCTTTCCTTTAGCGCAGATTCAGCATGTCGGCCCAAAATGCAATGAGGAGCAATAAAACAGCCATTCATGAGTTTCTGTCTGGAGACTCCGGGCTAATTCTCAACAAAGATTATGAGAATAACCTGACCACTCAGTGGGACTACGAGAATCTTAAACGCATCAACAACATAAACATGGAGACACACGTCATTGAGCTTGTGGATAAGATCATGAATAAAGGAGAAGATAAATGCAAAGACTTCCTGAACCTCCTGCAAACCGATGGCGCCATTAAAGAAACTTTCCCTCTGCTGGCGAGTTTACAGCTGAGTTGTACCCCCCTTTTATCCGAGCCTGTCCAAGTGTCTTCATGTCAGCACGGTAACACACACGTAACACAGTATAGAAACACTGTGTCTCCTGTTGTGTTTGGTTGTTTACCTCAGTTTTATTGTTCTTCCCTCACATGTTCTGCCACAAGATGGGAATATGTCACAGGTAAGATGCTGATGCAGAAACAGCCTCCTACACTTGTGACATCGCTTGAGACAGATATGTAGATGAAATTCTGTGGTTACGCATCCTGTAGTAACACATGTAAAATCTTGGTGTCCACTCTGTAGGATGTTTATCAAATCATTAGCCGGCCCGTCGGCCTCTGCGTGATCATAAACAATAACAACTTCAAGGATGGTTCACAGAGAAGAGGGACACATAAAGACGCCCGTAAGTTTCAGGGGCAGATTTTTTATTCTTTCTTGTTAGTATCTGGTGCTTAAATATTTTTCTCTAATTACATTTTTTGCAGAAAGCTTGGCAGAGGTGTTCAGCTGGCTGGGCTTCAGAGTGCTGATGTGTGAAGACCTGAACAAGGATCAGATGGATCAGGCACTGACGTTTGTTCCTTCCCTGGCAGACATGTCTCAGCTGCAGAAGTTCAACTTTAAAGAGTGGGATGGCAGCAGCTTTGTTGATCCTCAGCAGGTCCTTGAGCACGGTGATGCTTTCATCTGCTCTATTCTGAGTCACGGAAAAAAGGGTGTAGTTTTGGGAACTGACAGGAAACCCCTCCCCATTAAAAAAATTACCCGAAAGTTCAGGGGGTGTGACCAGTCAGTCCTCACCGGTAAGCCCAAAGTGTTCCTGATCCAGGCCTGCCAAGGAAGTAACATACAGCGTGGAGCGCAGCTGATGGAGACTGATGATGATACTTCACCATCGACCATCCCTGAGGAAGCTGATGTTCTGGTTGCCATGGCCACTGTTGAAGATCATGCTGCAAATAGACAGACAGTCGATGGAAGCTGGTTCGTTCAGTCTCTTTGTGAGCAGCTGAAGGAGC